AACAAAAAATCTACAGGAAAACAGCAATGGAGGGGATGATTCAAATCAATGATTTGTAACATAAGGAAGAAATAAGCATTCAACCAGAACAGCAGGAAGAAAAAAGAATTTAAAAATATGAGGATAATATAAGGAGCCTCTGGGACATCTCCAACATACCAACATCCAAATCATAGGTAGGAGAAGAGGAAGAGCAACAAATTGAAAACTTACTTGAAAAAATAATGAAAGAAAATTTCCCTAATTTGGTGAAGGAAACAGACATACAAGTCCAGAAGGCACAGAGAATCCCAAACAAGATAGATGCAAAGAGACCCACTCCAAGACACATCATAATTAAAATGCCAGGAGTTAAAGATAAAGAATATTAAGCAGCAAGAGACAAACAGAGAGTTACCTACAAAGAGTTCCCGTGAGACTATCAGCTGACTTCTCAAAGGAAACCTTACAGGCAAGAAGGGACTGGCGAGTGTTCAAAGTGATGGAAAGCAAGAACCTACAACCAAGATTATTCTATCCATCAAAGCTATCAATTAGAATAGAAGGGCCGATAAAGTACTTCCCAGACAAGGTGAAGCTAAAGGAGTTCATCATCACCAAGTGCTTATTATATGAAATGTTAAAGGGACTTATTAAGAAAAAGAAGAAGATCAAAACTATGAACATTAAAATGACAACAAACTTACAAATACTAACAATTGAATCTAAAAAGCAAAAACAAAAATAAACTAAGCAAACAACTAGAACAGGAACAGAATCATAGATATGGAGATCTCCTAGAGGGTTATCAGTGGTGAGGCAGAGGGGGGAGAATGGAAGGAAAGGTACAGGGACTAAGCATAAGTGGTAAGTACAAAATAGACAAGAGGGAGGTTAAGAATAGTATAGGAAAAGGAGAAGTCAAAGAACTTATATGCATGACCTATGGCCATGAACTGCAGAGGGGAATTGCTGGAGGGAATGGGGGTACTGGGTGGGGGAGCAAAGGGAGAAAATTGGGACAACTATAATAGCATAATCAATAAAATATATTTAAAAAGAATGACAGAACTCAGTAATCACTTGGATTTCAAGCCTATATTCTCAGTGTTAAATAAAGCAGACAATGGCTTCTGGTTCTAAAGAGCTATTTACACTCTTATTTATGAACTCAATGCCATACTAGAACATAACAAAAGTGGTTGATTTTATTTTATTTCTAGTCTTACCTTGGATTTTTCAGACTGTCCAATTATCATTAAAAAGCATATCCCCAAAATAACCAGAAATGCATCATCAGTCTACAAGTAGAATAAAAACTTAGGAATGTATGATTGGCAACCCTCATTGGGGCATGTAAGGTGGCACCTTTTCCCAAATGGAAGTGTAACATGCTTACAAGAAGGTTTTAGATTTCCATTGTTTAGTCCCAGCAGGCTAGGCTATTTACACACACACACACACACACACACACACACACACACACATCACCTCAAAAACAAGGAGAAATACTGAATAGCATCGTTTCTCAACATTGAAGAATTCACAATATAGTAAAAAATTATCAGCTGAAGACATATGAGAAAACAAGAACCCAGAGAACCAGGTAAGCAGGATACTCAAAGCCTAATTGATCCCAGAAGCCCTTTGTCCTTCCAGGACAAAATGAACTCTAAAACTGAGCTAGGAGTTGGATGAAATTGTGGAACAAGAGGGCAGAAATATGCTGGGACTTGCGTCTACTTAGAGTTCAAGAAGCAAAGACAGGTGGGGATCGGGGTGTCCTGAAGGGACTCAGCAGTGTGTGCAAGGCAACTGTTTCAGGAGAGGCCATTACAGGTTCCTCGAGCAAAGCACAGCTGACCTATGGAGGGGACGGAGTGGCCACTCCATTGGCAAAGAAGATGCATCTGAATTTAAGAACATACATTCCCATTGCAATTTTCAGGATCCCATTCTATCACAATCAATACGCTCACTTTCAATGGCAGATATCTTGTCAGCTTAGAAATTCAATTTATGGTGTAATTCGGCCACTCACAAGCTGACGGGGTGTCTTACTATTCAGAAAGATCAAATACTGGCTCTGTAGCTACAGGAGATGAGGCTTTCTTTCAGGACGTACAGAAACCTTTAGGTTGTTTATGCAACATTGGAGCTTGTCCTTTTCTTCCCCCGCTTTGTTAAGTGCACACAGCGGCAACCAGCTAGTCCAGTAATGGCATTTGCACACCCCCATTGCTTCATCGTGCCGTGAACTATCAGGGCCCCCCTTACTCATGGCAACAGAGTCATTAGTGTCTTTAAACCTAATCATATTGGAGAACTGACCCCAGAAACTGCAGGCCCAACTCAGAAAACTCACCCCTAAGATTCTGTTCATCTAGAATTCTTCTGGTGCCAAAATCTGTGAAAGTCAGTGTTTTCCAAACAGAAGCTATGGAATAGATGCACATGCACATTAGGAGACTTATTTTAAGGACTGACTCATGTGACAGTGTGGACTGACATATCTGAAATCCATATGACAGGCCAGAGGTCTGGGTACTCGGGTCACCGCTGCCGTTGTGAGTCTGAAACCCATAGGACATGCTGCAGGCTGAAACTTGGGCAGGATTTCAGTTATGAACTTGAGGCAGAATTCCTTCTTCTATGGATAAGCTCAGTTTTTTTCTTTTCTTTCGTTCTTTTTTTTTTTTTTGGTCTTAAGGCCTTCACCTGGTTGGATAAGATCAATCTACATTATTGAGAGTAATATCCTTTACTTACCCATAAATGTTAATCACATCTTAAAGACGCCTTCACAGCAACATCCAGACTAGTACGTCATATCCTAGCCAAGTTGACACGTAAACTTAACTATTATAACATACACAGTGTGAGTTTGTGATGTATTAAAAGTCTCAACAAAAGTAAAATGTATAGAGAATAGTATGGACAATAATATAGATAATCTATATATGTAATTATTGGTGGATGTAATTTATAATATAGAACAAAAGAAACATAACCATAGAGAAAATAATTTAACTACATTAAGTTAGTATTAATGATCTTTTGTTCATTAAGAGACAGCAATTAAGAAAATGAAAGTCTCTAAAACTCCTCCAAATCAATAAGAAAAGACAAAATATCCAATAGAAACTTAGGTAAGAGAGACTTCCACCTGAAATCCTCGAAAGAGAATACCCAAATGCTTCACAAAGATATGAACAGCTGCTCAATCTCATTTATATTAAGGAAAATGCAAATTAAAACCACAAATAAAGTTACCATCACAGATGTACAAGGTTGTTGAAAATTTCGAAGTATGAAAATCCAATCTCTGAATGGTTAAGAACCTAATCTCTCGAATGGAATTCTGCTACTTTCAAATGTGTAATTGGAGGCTGTCTGCTTCACCCCTCTGTGCCTCAATTTCATCACCTGGAAATGGGAAGAGCAATACTGTCTCACCTTTATCATACTATAAAGCTTAAGTCAACGTGCTGAGAATGTTGTCTGACATATATTACTGTCTACTTTTTAGTAAAGTAAAATGTGGTAAGACAGAAACCCTGCTACTCTGCTTGTACACTAGGAATGAAGCTTTGGAAAACAGTCAGCAATGATCTACTAGCATTAAAGATGCATAAAGCCTGTCACACATCAACTCTGCTTCTAGTACATAACCTAAAGTACATACAGTAGGACACATTTATGAGAGTGTTTACAATGATATTGCTTAATATTACAAAAGTGAAAACAACATCTACAAAAGAATAGGTAAATAAATTATAGAATACAATTCTAAGACTGACCTAAAAACATTAAGTTTTAAAAGATTATTATTATTATTATTTTATGTAGGGAGTGTTAGGATACCATCCTCCATGGCCCTCTATTGCACCTGCTCTTTGGGAGGGCAACACTGACTGCCTTTTATCTGGACTATCTTTTCAAAGATATTTGTATAAGAAACAGCTTTGGAAGATGGAGATAATGTCATCCTCTCTGACAAGGGCAAGTTTGCTTACTTCCCAATGTAAAGAACATGATATTTCTCTCCAGGGCAAAATGACAGGCAGGCTTACTTGCCTCTCAGCCCAGGGTTCCTCTTTGGAATGTAGCCCAGCATATTCTTCAAGAGTCCCGTCGCCTCCCTAGCACTTCTCGGTGGAGACTGGGGCTCAGGAATGGGCACAAGTGTTCATACTCTGGCCACTGCTCTCACTATGAGTGACTGCCCTTTGCGTCTGAACCGAGAGTCGTGTTTTCTGCCAGCATCCATAAAGAGGCAACAGGCTGATCTGCCAGCCTGGAAGCTTGAACTCTCAGGCTGTTCACAGTTTTGATGGCCAGGGCGGAGAATGCGAAGCGTGGGCATTTGGATCATCCAGAGCAACCTCAGCTCTGTTGCCTCCCTAGCTGTCAGCTTGGCGTTACTTGTAAGGCACTGTAACAGTGCTACATGGGTTATATAATTGAATCCTTCCAAAGTTCGTTAGAATTCCCATTTTACAGTTGAGCAGCAGGAAAGCGACCTGACCGAGATCTGACACTAATTAGTGCCTGACACTGGGTGCACATGTGGGCCTCCTGGCTGACCGCAGAGCCGCAGCGCCCCTGCGTTTCCGCCATTGTTCCCAAAATGTGGTTTACGGACTGGTGCCAGCACCTGAGAAGTGTGTACGAAGTGAACTGGGACAAGCGACCTCAAGGGAATGAAGAAAAACAAGCAGCATGGTGAGTTTTTCATTCAGCTGAATATACTCAATCGGCATGGCTTTTACTTCGCTCTGAGAACTAGTCCTTCCCATTGGGGGGCGGGGAGGGTGTTTTCATATCCTCTTGATAAAGAAATGAAATTGATAGTAAACCGGAGTTTTCTTTCAGAATTAGTATCTTTCCTGGACAATTTAAATGGCCGGCAACCCATCATTGGTCCTTTCTTTTTGTTTAATCTATGAATCTTTCATTCTCTGCTAGAATTTAAGTAAATGTCCTTGTGGAGCACTTACTGCTTCCTAAATGGGCTCGTAGTCTAGTTCAGATTCCTGGTGTGTAAATAAGTGTGTTTGTGCTTGTGGAGAGCAGGCACATTTGCACTGAACTGCCCTTGGAACACTAAACATAGGGCTTTTGCTATGATCTCTCCTTGTAGGCATTTATCATATTTGAGATCTCCAAATCCATCCCAGGGCCTGACATACCTGGTATGATCGGTACTATGTATAAACATTTGCCAACTAAACAAATAAACAGGCAAACAGATGCATTAATGAACTTTGAAGTGTTTTATTGTTTCGGAAATTCAGCCGGTGCCCGTGATTGAACGACTCCACGACTCCTTCCGCAGCGACAGGCCTGCGTGGTCCAGAACACCATTCCATTCTCCCAAGAGAAGACAAGAGATGTGTGGCATACGTCAGCTGACATGCAGATAAATAGCATTTGATTCTTTCCACAAGTGACAATCTGTTCAGAGGAGAGAAAACTGGCATCAGTTTTCCGAAAGGCCACACATGTGCTGGCACCTGCACTGTGAACAAATAAGCCGCTGCCCGAGTGACACTTGCCCCCGAAAGGCAGCCGAGGTGCCTGCTGCCCCTGAGGAAGGACAGACACTTTGGGGGCTGTTGTGTGGTTGTTACTGTTGGTGATTTACATTTTTTCTTATGTAGTCTGTAACATCTTTAAAATATTTCCTACTCCTTAGCCACTTAAAAATACCGCTGAATGAATCTCTCGAATTATGGAAATGAATTTAAAAAGGGGATGTTTACAAAAGATAATAAATTTAAAAGTGTGCTGAGAATCAACTGTTCAACTTACTAAGCGTGAGCGCTGACGTGTTTCCTGCGCCTAAGACCTTTGGTAAGTTTGAATAATCATAATTCCTTTTTGTTTCGTGGTACCCTTTCATTTTCCTTTAAGCTGTCTTAGAGCTGGTAATTAAAGGTTATTTCTGAGTAATCGGGAAGCCCTCTGTCTCCTGGTCTTCTTCCTACAGATTTGATTAGTGTTTGTAATATCATAGCTCGTCACCATGGAAATACTGTAATGTGACACATATACAGCGAGTAAAACGGAAGGGGGCCATTGGAAAGGAAACAGACCTCGGTGTCTAATGTTCCGGGGACGTCCGGCGGGAACCTGTGTCTTCCAGCCCCACACGGCGACGTGCTTAGCCAGCCCCTCCACTTGAGAATTCCTTTCACGATTTCCTGTCTTCATCGCCACAGACACGTCTCTTTTCTTCACCTCCCTTGATTTGGTTTAATTGCTTTCTCCTACGATTGCGGTGTCATTTAATTCCAAGCAACAATGGGCACTCAGGAATAAACCAGGAAACATTCCTCTGCTGAGCTGATGAGGTGCACGGGAAAAGTGACAGATGGGAAAACAAGTGACGTGAGTGAGTATCAGCCGTGACTCTCCACCACCTGTGACTCTCGAGTTCTTTATCTGTGAAGGGGACGTAGGACAAGGCTTTCCTTGTCTTACAGGAATGACACAAGAACTGCCCGAGACAATATGTGAAAAAATACCTGGGCAAACAAAACACCATATAAAACGTTGTTTACTAATCTTAGGAGAGTCCAAAAACTGATCAGTCTTTATTGTTCTCGTGCCTATAGGTTGGCCCTGAGTGAGTCATCACACGCCTGCCCTTCAACCTCATTGCCGTAATGCACATGGACAGACCGGATTTTCCAGGGACTGTGCGATCCTGACGCTTTACAATATATGAACTATACAAAGTCCTGAAAGGAACCAGTGCTCAGATTTAGCTGGCTTTGGCAGAAAGATGTACTGGGCGAATGGGAAGGGCGTTTTCAGCTCTAATGTCTGAGGCAGCAGAAACGACGGCACCCAGCTCCCGGCCCTCCTATGCCCGGAGTGTCCTCCTGAGCTGGTTCACATCAGGAGCGGGCACGCTGGGACTCCTTCTACAGTTTCTGCGCAGGAACAAGAGAACGAGTCCTCCTCGTTAGGGAACAAATAGTCCAAATTAAAATCTCCTGTAGGTTTAAGCCCATAGAAACAATCCAATTTTAAAGGGACTCTAAAGACACATTTCTCTTCAGTGAGTGGACATGAGATGGGAGGCGATAATTAAACTCATAAACTGCTCATAACTGAGAAGATAGCTCAATAGATCAGAGCTCTGGACTGCAGCTCGGTCAGAGCAGGGAGCGTCTGCGCCAGTGCGCAAACGAGAGCGTTGGGGGGGTGTGATCTTTCTCCTGGCCCCTCTTCCCCTAACTATGCTTCTTACTCCCCCTTCCCTTTTTGCCCCCTTCCCCTTCCATGACTCCCCTCTCCCTTTCTTGCCCTGCGTTACTCAAACGGATCATCCACGTTCTTGCAGCCCCAGTGATGCACACAAGCATGAGAGTATTATGCCAAGAGAAATAAGCCAGTCCATGAAAGACACATACCACGTGATTTCACTCCTATGTGGAATCTAACGAATAAAATAGACTGATGAACAAAATAGAGACAGAGGCATGGATACAACAGTCGGACAGCTGTCAGAGAGGAGGGGTTGGGGGGGACTAGATGAAAGAAAGGGAAGAGAGTAGCTAAAGAGCGAATACGCATGACCCATGGACACAGGCAACAGTATGGCCAGAGGGAAGCTGCGTCCTTGCCAGCACTTGTTGTCTGTTGATGTATTGATGATGGCCATTCTGACAAGTGTAAGGTGGCATTTCACTGTGGTTTTAATTTGCATTTCTCTGACGGCTAATGACATCGACCCTCTTTTCAGGTCTATTGGCCATCTGCACGTCTTCTTTGGAGAAGTGTCCATTCAGGTCCTTTGCCCATTTTAAAATTGGACTGTTTATTCTTCCGGTGATGAGTTTTATAAGTTCTTTATTAATTTACTAATGTTGGATATTAACCCCTAATCAGATATATCATTGGCAAATATGTTCTCCAATTCAGTGGGTTGTCTTTTCATTGTGTTGATTGTTTCCTTTGCTGTGCAAAAAATTTTTAGTTTGATATAGTCCCATTTGTTTATTTTTCTTTTGTTTCCCTTGCCTGAGGAAATATATCAGAAAAAAAATATCGCTACAAAGAATGTCTGGCACTTTACTACCTATGATTTCTTCTAAGATTTTTATGGTTTCAAGTCTAACATTTGAGTCCTCTTCTACCACCCACAAAAATAAACTCAAAATGGATTAAAGACTGAAATGTTAGACTCGAAACCATCATTTCATTCTATTTTTCTGTTTCTAAGAACGGTATTCATCCTGCCACACTGTCTTCTCTGGGACATGAATGTTGAGAGCTCAGTCCGTAACTGGCTGGAATTTCCTCATCCTTTCTGACAAAGCCACATTCCAACCCTTTCATTATGCCAACAGTGAAGGACCTAGCAGCTCAAACAAATTTGTTTAGAAAACTACTTCTTTTCTAGAGCAAGATGGCTAGGCAGGACAGGTAGTAAACGAAGGCAGGGAGGAGGAGAGAGACAGGTCTCACCCTCTGACTCAGCAGTCCTGACACCCGTCCGATAAGATCGCCGGGTGTTCCGAACATCACAGGCAGGGATAGCGCAGGAGGAGGGGAGTCCTGAGACTGTGCGCTGGGAAAGAGGGACTCTGCAACAACTTCTCTAAGACAAAGAGCCGTTACCAGCTGAGAAAAAAAACCTTTGCAGCCCTGTGTTATTCCCAAGGTTTAGAACGGGGAGAAGCAGGGGAACCTAGAGGCGGAGTAGGTTATATGACCCATGAACCCCAACAGACAGCATGCTCAGACTAGCTGAGTGTCCCCTTGTAGCCTCGGCTCAAGGGCACAGAACAGACTTACTAACAGACTCACTAACAACTGTATTTCCTCCATACGCGGGGCGTTCAGACTAGCCGGGCGCCTGCTCGCTAGTTGCGTGTTTGCCCGTGTTTCATAAATAAACTTGCTCTCTCCTTTCCACTACACGTATTTGTCTTTTGCTTGAACTTGTCTCTTGCCAGCAAGGCAAGAATTGAGGGACAGGCTCGGGGGGTACCTCCTGACTTGGGGCTCTCCCCAGTAACAAGACCAACAAATTCACAGCTTACAAACTCACAAGCCAAGGGTAATAAAAAGAAGTCAACATTGCCATTTTAATTCTACTGTACTTGTACAATGGCTCCTTAGTTCTGATTCTAGAGTATTTCAGACTGAATCGTGATCTTCCATTTAGCAAAGGGAGCCACAGAAAGGGTTGGTTTGGAAACGCAACTGGTATGGAGAAATGAGCATTGGTTTGTGAGTCTAATGTTTATTTTTTAAACCGTATCTTAGCCTTATTGTTGGTCTAGGACTTTCAGCTATAAACTTAACCCCCGGAAGAACAGGTTTTCTCCAGCAGAGCCCCTGGCACATAGGCATCGCTCCTCAAAGTGTGGTCATCACAGAACAAAGCTTTCCTTTTCCTGGACACTAAGGCACTACTATCTGGCAGCGGCTTGCTGTGCCCTATGTCCATCCTGGGGTGGATGCTTATAGGGGAAAAATTACTTTTAATGGATCTGAAGAATCTCTATTTACTTAATAACGAAAACTACAACCAGGGCACTTGGAAACACTTTTCATTCATTTCATGTTGGTGATCCCTGAGCTTTCAGCCACAGAATGGATAACACGTATCAGGACCTTGAAACCGGACTGCGAGCAGTATGTCATCACCTCGGGTCATTGAAACTTCTGTGCCAAACCTAAAATTAAACTTCACGGGCTCCTAAAAGTCACTGTGAGGGTATCTTTTAGAGTTTAGAATAGCTAAGCCCAAGCCAACACAACTGGTAGAAGAGTGGTTTATAGTCCTTGGCAAAGATCACTTTCTTGCAGTCCTGGTGCTTAGAGAAACCCATATATACAGCTGGAAATCTTATTTTACAGGATTAACCAGTGGGAGGAGAAGGAACAGTGGAGGGGAACATTTGCTCATCAGTGTTACCCTGCAAAGAGCCTTGGAGGGGAGGAAAGTCACACTTGTTGAGTATTCCAGGCAATATACTGGGTACTTACTGTCCATTCTCATCTATGGTGTCCCATATAGTGGGTCGTTTACTCCCATTTTTATGGATGAAGAAATGGAGCAGTTCTAGGTCACTTTGTCAAAGTCAGAAATCCAATCTGGGATTCACAGATTGTGAATCCTGGGCCCAGCAGCCCGTGAACCCTAGTCACCAGAGGCAGAGTTTGGGGCATGACTCTACGCCTGTCCAGCTGGGGGGCCTCAAATAATTTCCTGAGTCCATCTGGATCTTGGTGCCCCCTGTGTAAAGTTGATGTTTTAAAGTGGATGATTTTGCAGGCTTCTTCTGGCTAGAGAATTTCTTCAAGGAAAAAATTCAGTGCAAGCCAGAACGGTAAGGGACAAATACCTCATTGTTGACTCTATTGTGCTATCCCGTTACGATTCCATCGTGATGATTTGAATTTGTTTAGGTAGTCAGTAGAACCTGGAATGATATTATGTAAACATAAGTTTTAGCTACATAATTCAAAATATTATATGCATCGCTTGAAATATTTTTGTTGCTTAAAACTTATAAACTGTATAACACATTACATAAAGTAGAAATACAACAGTAAAGACCACCAATTTTTATTTTACAATAATTTAAAAATGCACAAATTTCTTCTTCAGCAAATTCAGTAAAAGTCTTTACAAGCTAATCCATAGAAATGTATATCCTTTTTATTTAATCCTCACCCAAGAATATGTTTTATTGATTTTAAAGAGAAAGGAAAGGAAGGAGAGAGAGAGAGAGAGGTGAGTGGGTGACAGAGAAAGAGATCAGATGCCTTCTATATTTGCCCAACCAAGGATCAAACCCTCAACCTAGGTATGTGCCCTGATGAGAATTGAACCTGAAACCTTTTACTTGCATGGGACAGCACTCCAACCAAATGAGCCACCCAACCAGGGTGGAAATGTATATGCTTTTGTTATAGTTACTCTAAGAATGATCTAAAAGAGAAGTGGGGAGGGTTGGGTGGGTGGGCTGGAATGTGAGTAAAAGGGAGAAAACTGTACTTGAACAATGATTAAAATAAAATTTAAAAAAAGAATAATCTAAAAGAGATATAAAAGAAGTGAGTAATCTATCTAAAATGTCTCCTACAAACTGAATAAAATATCACTCTACCTAGGACAACGCAGATAAAATCATGTAGCATTTGCAGCAAAGCAGGCTATTGCCACAACCCTTACTTTATGTAACTATTAGAGGAACATTTGCTCATGACACATTTACATAATACAATATACCTAGGAAAACAATTCGGATGTCTAGAGTATCTTTTTGGCAGACAATTATAGAGTTTATCACTTTGACCTCTGTTCCTTTAACCAAGAGGCAAAAATATGTAGCTGAGGCTACAAACAAGCAATTTGCTGTTCTACCTTGATTGCTGGAAGAATTAGCACAGCACAGCGCTGGTGAACCTTGATGGAATGGGCCCTACCAAGAGGGGCGGAAATGGTGCCATAATCACAGGCCAAGAAATGCTGGCCAGCACCTAATCACTCTATGGAACCTGCCATCCCACTCTGTAAAAATGTTGCAAAATCCTGCGCCAGACAAACAAACATGTAGGCGGTTCTTGCAGAGGATCCAAAGCAAATGTGGCAATGGAAATTCATCCAGGAACGCCAAGTGTCCTAGAAACTCCACGGACTTTTCCGGAACCAGGTGGTGGACCTGTGGTGGAACTGCGGATTCACTACGTCCTGACAATATCCCAAAGAGTACAGGGTGGCATCAAACTCACTTGTGTGGCTTTATAACTGCTCTCCCCCTTAGCCTGGCCCTTCCCGCCCTGCATGACCCTCTGCTGTGATCGCAAATGTTGTGTTCCCAGGAAGAGGCAGAACCTCACAACATCACCAGGGTGTCCAGTATTTGTGTTCCGCACTCGGAAAAGTTGATCCAGTCTGCAGTTGTCTGAGTGGTGAGGCGGCCCAGCCACAGTAATTCTGACTCAATCTCTCGGTCAGACAAATAACGGCAGAGATGACTAAACACACAGATGTACCAATATGCTAGAGTGAACATTTTTAAGAATAATTTAACCAGATGATATGAACACTCTTCTCTGACCTCCCTCGGAAGGTTTTTGATTTTTCCCTGATTAGATTTGAACTTCCTGGCACTATAATTTTGTAATCAAAGTCAGAAAAAGGCTCTATAAAAAACTGAGTACTGAGCATCTTTGCTTAATTGATTGCAAGCTTCTCTTCCTTTTTAATAGTGTAATTCGATGCCAAAAGAAGATAGAGTAGTCTTAGGAAGATACTGTACATACAACTGCATAATGGAAGTAACACATTTTAATTATTTTAATAATTATGATGGTTTTTATGATAATTTCCAAAACGCGTTACGTCTTCTAAGTCCTCATTAAATGAAGAGGGCGTGAAATCACCCGCGTAACAAGGACCGCGCTCCAAACACGGCTGTATCTTTGCTGCGTGTAAAGGAAGGGGCAGCCCAGACACCGTGGGCGGGCAGCCTGCGTTAAGTCCGGCCTGTGGGTGGGACTAGCGCGAGCTCCCCTCTGCCACCCTCTGCCAGCCCATTGTCTGCGCTGCCTTCCTCCGGGCACCGTGCAGTGTAAACAATTCCGGGAGTCAGTCCTCTAAAGCAGCTGGTAACGCCAGAGACCAGACATCCCTACGGCCAGATGCAAATTTTACGAGGTGAATTAACCAAAGACGATGCGCGTTAGATTAAAAACAGAAACAAAAATTGACTGCCAAGAGCTATTCAGAAAGTAATCAAAACAAGAAATGATTTTCTTTCTCTCTGACAAAGGAAAGGGCATTTTATTTACTCTGGTTTGAGTTTATTTGGTCACTGGGACTGACCAAAGTTTCTCTGAAATTGAAGATGCGCAGGACAGAATTATACCAATTGTGAGTACGGAGCTGAGCCACAGTGAGAGACACAACTGCACCTCCGTCTCTCCCACCTTCCCTGTCTCTCTACTCATGCCTTTGTCTGTCTCCGTCAGATTTTCAAAGTAGCCATATTTCTTATCGGCACTAATAGAAATTATAGGATATAAAGGCCTTTTTACAAAAAGAAATTGGAAACTTTTTTTGCTGACTTTCTTCCTTCCTAGAATCTAACAACAATTAGAAAAAACATTGGCCATAGTTTGGTTCTCATAGAAGATAGTTAAGAATTGGGGGTGAAATTTAAGCAAGAAAAATATTGTATTTTTGTTTACTAAAAAAGTACTTGAGGCTTTATTTCCCAAACCTCAGTCACTTTCTTACCTCCTTTATAACATGGGGTATTTCCACATACCATTTATATTATTTTTATGTAAAAACATCTCATGTACATTCATAAGTACATTCACTAAAGGTGGAAATGCATCATCACTGCACGTGGAAAACCAGCATCACTTGCTGGAAATGATAGAACAGGGCCATAAAAAGAAAAACAATTCTTGAAAGTGGTAGTCATACTTGGAGATAATGTTGCTGTCATTTGGATCTATGCCAAATTGACCTTTTTCAAGGAGAATATCCACCTGGTAATGCACGAGCGTGGACAGACACACGCATTCACACTCACACACACACACACACACACGCACCCCTCACGCAACCCACCTCCAGACTGGAACCCTGCGGTCATCCAGAGACAGGGCGGCTGCTGGCCACGCCCTTCCGACACCCGTCTCCTCCATCCGTCAGCACACCTCAGTCTCTCCCCGACCACAGTGCAAATCTCTCTGCGTGGAGTGAAAGCCTTGAAAGGGCTCACTGCTGCCTGAGTTGTCTCCCCAGCGTCTTTCCCGACGCTGAGCCATCGTGTCACGCGCAGGCTGTGCAAAGCGCTGAGCTCTGCGTCGCGAGTTCAGTGCGGAGGTGAAACGGGCTCCCCTTTCAAGAAGTCTGTGGCTCGTGAGAAATAAAGAACAGTCAACAGGAAACGCAGCCTAATGTGAGATACAAAAAACCTTACACTGGACGATTGTGGGTGGTCCTGCCCAAGTCAGCTGGCAGCACACAGAAGGCCACCCTCGCTCAGTTCTAAATCTGATGATCATAAAGTTTATGCCGAGCCCAGGCGTCGGGCTTACATTCCCCTTGATTTCCTCTGTTTTTAAACGCTTATGCATAAGCTTTTAAAAAATCAGAAAGGGTACCTTAGATATCACAGCCTAACAACCCAGCTAGGCTCAGCTGAGATGCGCTTAGAAGAGGAAGGGCTGCGTGCAGGGTCATTTCCATTAGTAGAGGAAGCTGGCTTCTTTGCATATAGTATTAACAATAGTTAAAGTTTGCTAATCCATTGCTATCTTAAGTTCGGCACTTCAGTAAGTTCCTCCTTATAACCATGCCCTGCTGTCCCTCAGACATGAGAGATCAGTGTGTTTTCCCCCACGTCTCTGCTCTTTTCCTTTTCTCCTCCTGGAGTGTCCTTTTCAGAGAGTCACAGAGGTCATCCCAGCGCGTGACCGATACTCCGCTTCCTGAAGAGACCTTCACATGGCCTCATCCACACCGACACTCCACGCCCCCTCCACCCCGGCCCCGATCCATTTTCCTGCACAGCATGTAACACTGCTCCCCATCTTTTGTTTCCGTGTTTACGTATCCGGCTATTGCCCGTCTCCCTAGATGAGGCATAAGCTCCATCAGGAGAGACGTGTTTCGGCTGTTGCTGCTGTTGTTTTTGCCGGCGTGTCCCCAGCACCTGCCGCCATCCATCCTGTCTCAACAAAGGTTCTCAGTAAGCATTGCTGAGTGAACAAATAAATCTCATTTAATCCTCAAGGCCACTCAGAGACGTTGAGAAGACAGAGCACGGGCAAGGATAAGCAGCTGGTGGTTGTATGGCTCACGGGCAGCAAATGGACGAGCTGGAATTCGAGTCCCAGAGAATGTGCGGATCTACTGACTGCACAGGAGAGATGGGTGTGGGTCACTCGCAGACAAGGGTTCAGGTTGCAGAAAGCAAGAACATACAAAGGATTTAGAAGATCTGTGTGCCCATAGCCTGTTGCAAGAATGGGTTCAGTTTTGTTGAGAGGGAAAACAGAAAACTAAGGGGAGATGGGAAGAGAATGGGTAAATATGGGTCTCGAACTGCCTCAGCATTGGTGGAAAATAGAACAGCATGCAACAATGATAAATGCTAAAGCTCTCGATATCTTAACTTGCAGACCCAGAATTCTATGAGTATCTTCTTCAAAGCCTGGAGAAAGATGGAGAGAAAGTCATTGAGCTGTTCGCACAAACCTTTCTGGAATCGTCAGCTGCCCCCACTTGGGGTCACCCTTACCAAATCAGAGTGCCACCTGCCCTGCCAGCCTGGGGACAGGGCCACAGCTCTGGGCCGTGGTCTGGCCCGCATTACCTTGCATAGTCTCTGCTATAATTGCATGACATCTTTCTTCTTCTTCGTGATAAAATGCTCCCTGTTCTCTTGAGCCTTGAGCAAATTTCAAGATACTAGAAGCAAATTCTCCAAGGACCTTTTCCAATCAAGTTTTAGATACCATCAAGTATCCAACTTGTACCCTTTAGTGTGGTGAGTCACCATGAGAATCCTTTCCAGCGGTTGGAGAAAGAAGCCTTTCCTGTCTCCCCCAGAGACAGACTGAGTGAACCCTCTTTCCTATCAAACACACACAGCCAATCCTCTGAGGCCCAAGGCCCCTGTCCCCTCCCCCACAGGTCCAGGCAGTGTGGAACGGCCACACTGGCCACCACTGCTTCCCCAGGGGCCAACGAGTCTGCATGGCTCTCCTCAAAACCCTAACTGCAGCCACAGAAGGACTGGAGCCCCGGGGGACAGCTGAAGGCCATGAGGTGCCTTGGACCACAGACCAGCCACTCAGTCCTGTTAAACCAAGACCAGAAAAACAGACAGTCAGAGAGGAAGTGGTTTTGGTCCCACCCCCCAGCCCCCACCTCCAGCATGCCGCCAAGAACATTGTTATTCAAAGAAATCACTGAGGTGTCATTCTGTTTCAAATTCTGTCTTGGCTCCCATCACTGTTGTTTTTTTTTTCAAAGTCTCACCAAAAGCTGTTTTCAAATTTATATTTTCAGGAGGACATCTCCTCCCCATACGACACTAATGGGACATTACTGGTGACTGCATCTCAAGCAGCATCAGAAGCAGACTTCCGAAGGGCAGGAGTGTACCTTTTTGAGGGATAAGTATTTATCCTGCAGGTGTTAACACCTTCAATTATTCACTCTCTCTGGTTATAAAAAAATTTCATCTTACAGTGCTAAAGATGATGGTCCCAGGCCTGAGCCCCAGGCCTAAAGGGGCCCTGTGATGGATGTGAGGCTGTCACAACGTGGAGAGAGGGTGGGGTTATCTCACTGGTGGAATACAAAGCAATTTGACCTGAGTAGATTTCATTTAATTTCCCTGGAACAAACATTTATTGAGTCTGCCTGCTCTGGGTGCTCTGCTAGACACTTTCCCATATGTTGTCAATTTTTAGCCCCCGATAGTACGATGAAGGAGATATCATTGATTCTACTCTCATGGAATAAAGCCAAGGCTCGAGAAATGTTAGATAATTTGCTGAAAGGGAAGAGCTGGAATTTAAACTCACAACTTCGGATGTCACGTATGAAAATTTTGTCACCAGGAGATTCCAGTGTCTTTTCATGTGAGAAAGAAGACACAAATATTTTCTTTGGATATCTGCAGAGTTCACCTTTACTCCTTAGGAGAGTCCTTTTAATTGGGAACTTGCTGTGTCCCAACACACACCTGTATCCAAAACTGGCCTTTTTCCTCTGTTACGAGCAGTTACTTCTAATTTAACACATTTTCCAGTCTTTAAGCACGGGCACCTTGAACTACTCTTTGATTCTTAGCCTCTGTTCTGTTTTTACCAATCTACTATCAGGTTCTCTTTATTTTTCTTTAAAATTGGCATTTTAACAATACTGGAAGACAATATTGTTAAACATGGGATGCCTTTCCATTTATTTGTGTCTTCTCTAATTGCTTTCATCCAAAAAAGATATACACATGACCATGTAATGAAAATGTGCTCATCATCACTAATCCCAGGAAACACCAATCAAAACCACAGTGAGATGTCACCTCACACCCATTAGAATGAGTCTTATCAAAAAGTAAAGATAAGTGTTGGCAGAAATGTGGGGAAATGGAACCGCTGCACACTGCCACAGGAATGTAAAATGACGCAGCTACTGTGGAAAACAGTATGGAGATGGCTCAAAAAATTAAAACTAGAACTACCTTAAGGTATAAGGACAAACCCCACTTCTGGGACTGTGTACATCCAAAAGAACTGAAAACAGGATCTCAAAGAAATACTTGCACTCCCGAGTTTATTGCAGTAGTACTCACAATGCCTATGAGCACAGACCACCCTAACGTTCACCCACAGGGGAATGGATCGCCCTTCAAGTCTGACTTGATTCCTCACGTCCATCACGCCCCGCCCCCTGCTTTTCCTGCCCCAGTGTAATCTGACCTCTACAATCTCTACGTACAGCCCATTTTCCCTCGTCCTTCCATTCACACCCTTCCCGGTTAAATGAGTCCTAACCATCCTTTTTTACATAGTCGTTTCAACCCAGGTATCTTGGTCCACGTTCTCCTTCCTTTCTTTTCCTGTCTCAGCCACACAAATTCCACCCACTTTCTAAAAACTCAGCTCAAGTCTTAAGTCCTTCATGAGTACGTGAATTTGCACTGTTTTCACCGTTGCTGCCACCGTGCTGTGTTACACTGCCAGTCAGTCTAGGATGAAACTGTTTGCTTGTTTCTTTTGGGGGGAGGCATGTGGGCATACTTATTATCTCTCTTCAACTAAATGATAAATTTCTGGATAGCCAGAAGTGTGTAATATACTTTCTGGGATCCCCTCGGTGTTTTGAGCTGTGTGTATTGCTGGAGTAATTCAATAAGGTCATGTATCATCACCCCAAAGCCGAACTGTGTCTCTGTTAGAACAAGGCATTTCTCACTGTTTACAACACTTGGTAAAAAATAAATAAGTGATTAAGTAGCTTATGGTACAAGGAGAGAGTGAAATTCAGAGAATGATAAAGAGGTAAGTAATGGAAAAGACAATCGTATGGCCCCTTCCTCAAAACATATCTCATCTAAGCCAGTGTGGTCTTTTTTGTCTCCAGGGAGGTCAGGTGGTAGGGGAAGTGAAGCCACTTGACCATGATTTCCTTAGAGCAGATAACGCCACACAGAGCACTTGAACGTGGAGTCAAGAAGGTCAAGTCCCCATTAAGCGAGGAAAGCACTGCGCACTAGGTCTGCAGGGTGCTGAAGGGGAAGCTCAAAGCAGACACCTTACAATTGCTCTCTTTGTCTCTACTCTGCTAACTGCATTTGGGGGCGAAGGTCAAAAGATAGAATGAGGTCTTTTATTGAAAAAATCATTATATTTCTTCTGTGTTTGTAGCCTGCTGTTATGGAAAATTTCAAACATATACCAAAAAGAGGAAGGAGGAAAATAAAACAAACCACAGGTACCCCTCATGCGGGCTGCAGTTACCGACTCCCAGCCATTCTTGTTCCATCTTCACCTCCTAGCTCTCTACTCAGACTGCTTCCAGGTAAATTCTGGACATCGTATAATTTTAAGTATATATCTCTGCATGCATCTCTAAATGGCAAGCACCTCCCTTACAAAAAAATGTAGTCTTTTCATTAAACACACTAATACACACAAAAGAACCATTTTCTTAATGTCATCAAACACCATTCACATTTCCCAAACTGTGTGGATTTTTCACATTTTGTGTATTTGAATTATATCAAACGAAGGCCCATACAT